CATAATCGTGAGCGTCAGCTTTCAAAGTAAATATCAAGACAGTTACTAATGTCGTTATTTTTACCATCAATTCAAGCCCGAAAGGGCAACAGAGTCGCGTGACAGACACAGTGATGATGCAGTACACAAGCCGTGGTTAAGACAGCTGACGTGCTATGATTTCTGACAGGCAGTTGACTGTTCTGGGATGTGACCCTGTTCCCCTCACGCACAGTCACACTCACACACACGACGCAGTTGCAGTTACTCTGCGCAAAACTCCACATTTGAACAGTCAATAGCAAATACTTAAACTAATAACAAAACATACTTACAGTCACTGATTCAGAAGTGACAGATTGTCATAGCAAAGTCGGAATTGACCCTTTTTTTTGTTTTAAGAAATAGCCTTTGTGCACAGCCAGCCTTGTACTCTTCTAGGTTCAAAAAACTGTCGTCCATAAAATGCGTTGCACAAATTCGAACATCTGGGTTGTGCTGTTCTGTTGTAAATAAATCTTAACCAATGATTCCTAATTGCATCTACTTCCGGAAGGCCAAATAAAGTGCTTTTGCTTTGGCACTGAAATACACAGCGTCTCCCTGACATGGCTGCATCAACACTACTGATGTTCCTAAAACCACGCCTTCTTTCTTTGCTGCACATTTGGGTGGCATTATGTTAATATTTCCAAATAGTGACATAGATATGTGGGGGCGTGTTAGAATGAGCCGTTTTAGGAGGATGTGGTTGACTCTTATAACTTTTATAAAGAATATCTCTTTGGATTTGAGACTTTATTCTTTGCAACTTTACAGATCTTCTTTATGCACCAAGAGCTTGTAACACTCCAAAGAGAAAGGAAAACTTGAAATAGCATCATATGACCCCTTTAAGAATTCATGTTTTTTCCCCAAATCTGATAAAAATTTTGTGTGTCCTTGGCAGTACCAGAGCTTATAACCAGGGGTGTGATTCTTCAAATGTTTCCTCTTCATGAGCAGAGAATCCTGAATCAGCTGATGACGTCCTGGGTTCAGGCAGTCTGTGAGAGGCAACCTCTAGGTGAGAACGCCTGTGCTTTTGCCAACATGCACAGGAGTCGACTACCTTTTAGTTATTCGGAAATGGTTGGTGCTTTCCAATGGTTGTATAATGAGATTTCAGGCCAAGGCTCTTCCTTTAGCAAACAAACTTATGTGTACCTACCTGCTTTCTTCAGTACAGACCGATTTGCTCTGAGCAAATATGAAGTGCTACAGTATGAATTCTTAATGCAATCTACGAGTCACTACATGTTTTGTTATGTGTAATGAGATCTCTAAGAAGGAGCCCCTCTTATAAGGAAACGTGATACATTTTGAAACTATGATGTTAGTTGAGGCATATTTCACTGTATTGTGGTTTGCATTTCACTTTAGTGCCAATCTAACAATATTTTAGTAAACAATTAAATCAACAGGGCCTTTTATCTTGGGATTGCCCATATAATTATGCAAATGTGGCCAATTTTATTCATACTGTTATATTGCAAAAAAGCAGATTAAGCCTAATTTTTTTGTTTTCCCATTCCTGACAGATGACGTGTGTGATTATTTTGGTGTGAAGATTGGCATGTACTTTGCTTGGTTGGGCTTTTACACCAGCTCTATGCTGTATCCAGCAGTGATTGGCTTTCTGCTCTGGATCTTTGCTGAGTCTGATCAGGCAGGTTGTTTTCCTTGATATATCACAATCCTATAGCTTTAGATTGGAAGTATAGAAAGTATACAAGAGTTTGTTATTTGGTTAGAAGGCACTGTTTTATCACCAACCTTTTCTGATATGCAGACAAGTCAGGATATCTGCTGTGTGGTGTTTGCCGTTTTCAATGTTGTGTGGGCAACACTCTTCCTGGAGAGATGGAAGCGGCGGGAAGCAGAACTGGCATATAAGTGGGGAACGCTGGACACCCCAGCAGAGTCACTAGAGGAACCCCGTCCACAGTTCCGGGTGTGCTGACATCATTTTTATGAAACCTTAAAGGGGTCATATGATGCTTTTTTAAAGATCATTATTTTGTGTATTTGGTGTAACAGAATATGTTGACATGCTTTAATGTTCAAAAAACACATTATTTTTCAAATACTGCACATTATTGTAGGTCCTCTATGCCCCGCCTCCCCGCCTCTCCTTCCGACAAGCGCAGTTTGCTCTGATTGGCCAGCTGACCCAGTGCATTGTGATTGGCCGAACACCGCAAGCACTCGTCGGAAAATTTAACGCCCCTTACCATAATCGCAAGCTTCATCTTTCAAAATAAATGTAAAGACAGAGCCCGAAAGGGGAGCAGAGTCTCGTGTCAGACACAGTGATGAATATGTGTTTGCAGTACATAAGCCACGGTTAAGACAGCTGACTCCACTGTGATGTGTCTCGCTCTCTCTCTCACTCTCTCTCGCTCGCGCGCGCGCGCGCGCACGCACACACACGATGCGCAAAACTCCGCATTTGAACAGTCAATAGCAAATACTTAAACTAATAACAAAACAGTAGCTGATTCAGAAGTGCCAGATTGTCATAGCAAAGTCAGAATTACCTCCTCTCCTAGGTTCACGAAACGGTCGTCCATAAAATGCATTGCTGTTCTGTTGTAAGTAATCTTAAAGATTCCTAAATGCATCTACTTTCGGAAGGCCAAATAAAGTGCTTTTGCTTTCGCACTGAAACACACAGCGTCTCCCTGACATGGCTGCTTCAACACTAACTGCGGTTACTGAAACCACGCCTTCTTTCTTTGCGTGAACATTTGGGCGGCATTATGCTAATATTTCCACATAGTGAGATAGATATGTGGGGGCGTGTTAGAACGAGCCATTTTAGGGGGGCGTGGCAGAGTCTTAACTTTGATAAAGAATATCTCTTTGATTTTGAGACTTTAGTCTTTGCAACTTCAGGGATCTTATCTATGCACAATCAGCTTGTAACACTCCAAAGAGAAAGGAAAACTTGAAATCGCATCAAATGACCCCTTTAAATTATTAGACAAAAAATGTTTGATAACAGCAGGTGAAGGTCATTAATGACCACCTCTATTTATATAAAAGTCATTCTAATATGCTGATTTAGTGTGTCAAGACTTTGACCTTTGATAAATAGAATGTTTAAAAGAACAGCATTTATTTGAAATAGAAATCATTGATCAGTTTAATGTTTCCTTACAGAATAAAAGTTATAATTGTATATATATATATACACACACACAGTTGTACTCATAAGTTTACATACCCCTTGCAGAATGTGCAAAATGTTAATAATTGAAACAAAATAAGAGGGATCATGAAAATTGCATGTTATTTTTATTTAGTACTGTCCTGAATAAGCTATTTCACATAACAGATGTTTACATATAAAGACAAAATAATAACTGAATTTATAAACATTTCCTTAATTATTATGAATCTTAATACTATGTGTCATTTCCTGGATGATCCACGACTGTTTTTATATTTTGTGATAGTTGTTCATGAGTCCATTGTTGGTCCTGAGCAGTTCAACTGCCTGCTATTCTTCAGAAAAATCCTCCAGCTCCTGCACATTCTTTGGTTTTCCAGCATCTTCTGCATATTTGAACCTTTTACAAAAGTGACTGTATGATTTTGAGATCCATGTTTTCACACTGTGGACAACTGAGGGACTCCTACACAACTATTACAAACTAAACATTTGAACAGGATGATGATGTGTAAATTCTTCTCGTTTTGTTTAAGGATCATATTTTTTCATTTAGTACTGGACTTCAGAAGCTACATAAATACTTACATGTTTCCCAAAAGACAAAATAAGTACAATTTACCCTGATCATCCAATTTAAAAAGTTTATACCCCCCCCCCAGTCTCTTAATGTATTGTGTGGCTTTCAAAATTAGACAGTCAATGTTGGAAAGGGTTCAAATATGCAGAAGATGCTGGAAAACCAAAGAATGTGCAGGAGCTGGAGGATTTTTCTGAAGAACATCAGGCAGTTGAACTGCTCAGGACCAACAATGGACTCATGAACAACTATCACAAAATATAAAAACAGTCTTGGATCATCCAGGAAACGACACACAGTATTAAGATTCAACAGTAAACTTTTGAATGGGGTAATTTTTATAAATGCACTTATTATTTTGTCTTGTGGCATATATGTAAACATCTGTAATGTGAAATAGCTTATTCAGGACAGTACTATATATATTACTGACTAGTTTATACTTTTTAAAAATTTTTGCTACATGTATATCAGGGAATTAAGCGTCGCAGTCCGGTGACTGGCTGTGAAGAGTTTTTCTACCCACCCTGGAAGAGGAGAATGTTCCACTGGTTGGTCAGCCTTCCCATCTGCATCCTTTGTCTCTGCTTCGTCTGTTTGGCCATGTTTATCTGCCTGGAGCTTCAAGTAAGGATACTCTGTAACGTTTGTTACAAAACTTGCTACAGCAGATTATTTCAAATAAACTCTGCAATGAAGTTTCAAATATATTTGTTTTCCATATTCAACTAAACATTGTTTATGGATATTCAGGATTCATGACTTCTGTCTCTTACAGGAATTTGTCATGGAAACAAAGGAGTTGCCAAGCATATGTAGATTTTTCCCAAAAATTCTTCTGGCTGTAACTGTTACTGTATGTGATGAAGTGTACAAGAAAATAGCTCGCTGGCTCAATGAAATGGGTAAGACTTAAATCTGTTAATAACATTTACAACATTAAATGTGTATTTGTATTTTCATTACACAGTACGTGTTATTGAATTTAGCCAGATTGGGACATAAATTGGGTCATTATATTAGCAGCAAACTTGCATTTTTGGTTATTTCACAGCCTTTTTTCCTCAGCGACACCTGTTTGTTCATTTTTTCAATTTTAACAGAAAATTACAGACTTCAAAGCACTTATGACAATAATCTCATCCTCAAGACTGTTTTTGTAAGTTTAATGCTTTATTTCATCTATTTCTATATACCAGGAGATGTTCAGTTTATTAATGTATCACCATACTGTAAAAAACGTGTATTTGATGAATTTATGAAGTATTGTGTATATCAGTAATGTTTAAATATCGTGTTCTGCATTTTAAAGTTTCAGTTCATAAATTCTTACCTCAGCCTTTTCTACATTGGATTTTATCTCAAAGACATGGAGCGGTTAAAAGAGGTAATACACAGATGGCAGAATAATATTAAAACAAACACAAAGTGGCATGAATGAATCATTCTGCAGCCCAGACAAAAAATGACGCTCTTTAATTTACAGATGCTGGCCACGTTGTTGATCTTCCGCCAATTTCTACAAAATATCAAAGAAGTGTTACAGCCGTATCTCTACGAGCACCATAAATTAGGTGCTCTGAGGACATTATGGGACTTAATTCAAACCATGCTCCTGAACTATAGTCATTTAATAGTGCAAAGGATACGACTGACTTGCCAAGCCAGTCTGGATGTGAATAAAAGTGGCTCACCTCCAGAGCAATCAGAAAAGAGAGAAAGGAGGAGTTTAATTGCCAGCTACAGAGTTCCCAAAACAGAGGAAGGGGATGATGATGCTGGACTAAAGCAAAGGAAGGTCAGCTTTACCGAGAAGGTGGAATACAAGGACAAGGTTGTGGAAGCACCGACACAGGCCAGTTTACAGGACGATGGCAGTCCTACCCTCGTGGAGAAAGGAATGGATCCATCCTTAATATTTGATATACGTGATGATGACGATGATGATGATGATGATGATGATGATGACGATGATAATGATTATAGAGACATAGATGATTCCGTGAGTAAACCTCAAGGAACTCAGAGAAGAAAGACCAAATCTGCTGGGGAAAACAACAGTACGGAAAAGAAAATGTCCTGGATGGATCCTCCAGAGGAGAACGAATCCACTGTTTTGACCCAACCAGAGATTGAAAGTTGCATGCTAATTTATGAGGTCTGTGCTCCTCTATCTATATCATCAGCCTGACCAGCTGATGCTGTTATTAATCATACAAGTGTAGAAATGCTATTTATGTGACTTATTTGCTACTTTCTGAACCCAATGGCTGGTTTACAAACTGTATCAAAAACAAGATAATTTTCTTTTATTTCAACTTGCAGGATACTCTTCAGGATTACCAGGAGATGTTCATACAGTTTGGCTACGTTGTGCTCTTCTCTTCTGCATTTCCTCTGGCAGCCATGTGTGCCCTCATAAACAACATTGTAGAAATCCGAAGCGATGCGTTAAAACTTTGCACAGGCCTCCAGAGACCCTTTGGGCAAAGGGTTGAAAACATTGGACAATGGCAGGTCAGGAGATCCATTCAGAGTAATTGCTTAGTAAATTATTCATAGCCGATTGTATTTCTTGTTTGTGTTCATTTGCTTTTGTTTGTTTTTAAAATTTAAACAGACCGCAATGGAGGCAATGGGTCTGATCGCAATAATTGTGAACTGTTACCTCATTGGCCAGTGTGGACAGCTGCAACGACTCTTCCCCTGGTTGAGCCCTGAGATGGCCATTATCTCTGTTGTAGTGCTAGAGGTAAGAATGAATAGCAAAAAAACTGCAAAAAGGTTTGTGGTCAGTAAGATTTTTTGTATGCTCAACAAGGCTGCATGTATTTGATAAAAAATACAGTAAAAACAGTAATATTGTGAAATATTATTTTAAAATAACTGTTGTCTATTTCAGTATATTTTAAGAAATAATTTATTCCTGTGATGGCAAAGCTGAATTTTCAGCATCATTACTCCAGTCTTCAGTGTTACACGATCCTTCAAATATCATTCTACTATGCTGATTTGGTGCTCAAGAAACATTTCTTTTTATTATTAATAATATATGTTAAAAAAACAGTTGTGCTGCTTAATATTTTTGTGAAAACCATGATATATTTTTCTCAGGAATAGAAAGTTCAAAAGAACAGGATTTGAAATAGAATCTTTTATAATACTGTAAATGTCTTCTGACAAGTTATTGCTGAATAAATGTATTAATTTCCTAAAAAACATTTTGTAGTTTATATACATTGTGTATAACAAACTTAAATCTTGGCTAAATTATGTATAAAATGTAGTAAATGGAACATAACCCTTCTCATATGGTTTTCAGCACTTCGCCATTCTGCTCAAATATATAATTCATGTTGCAATTCCTGATATTCCAAACTGGGTGGCAGATGAGATGGCTAAACTTGAATACCAGCGGAGAGAGGCTCTCAAGGTAGCACAGCACATGAGTGTAGTAGACTAACAATGTCCATTGCAATGTCTAAATGTAATTTTAATGTGTATATCATCACGTTGAGAAGAAAAAATCTTGGTTTGTTGAGTTAAAAGGGTGTGTCATTGTCTGTTTCTGCATCAGAAACATGAACGCCTCGCACAGCAGCACCAGCAGCAGCAAAGGAGGAAGTCTGAAGAAGAAGAGGAGCATCAAAAAATGGTAGAGGAATTGGCACGACAAGATCAAGTCAAGTCCGATCTGAATGGAGGTGAAGAACATCACCATGAAAAAAGCCCAGGGGCCAAGTTCAGCTCCGGAGATAAACTCAAGAGACCCAGCTCCCTTTTAGGCAACAATAATGTAATGAAACTTAAACAGATAATCCCACTTCAGGGTAAATTCACCTCTACCACTTCTCCCACAAGCGGTGAGGCCAAACTTCCAGGTTTTCTGAAGTTCCTCAAATCCCAAGAGTTAAAAAAGGAAGCAGCTGCAGCAGTCACACAAGCAGCTACACATGGGAGCCACGAGAAATCACAGTCTCCCAGCAAGTCCTTCAATCCAGGCAAACTCTTCAACTTTGGGAAGGAAAATCCATGTACTGGTTCTGAACAACAAGTGAAACCAGAAGATGCCTCAAGGGCCACTAATGCACAACACACAAATATTGCCCAAAACCCTTCATCAGAAGAGCTTCCATCTGAGGTTGAAGAGTGAAAGCTCAGACTTTGGTTCTAATCCTTCAAAAAAACAGTGAATGAAATGGTGATACTACTCAGTTAATATATAGCACTGATTGTAATGCTTAACATTTGCTTAAATGTGGTAAAGCAACCATGTAGTGAGTGGAACTGCATGTCAAAAATCATTTTAATACAATATATTAATCAGAGACCTCCATATAGTTTACTTACTAAAGGCGGCATGCTGAGTCACCTGCATGATAAAATCAGTTTAGGCATGGGCAAGCAAGAAAGGACATTTGAATGAGCACTGTAAAATGTATAGATTTTATATTTTTCTATGCATTATTATTTTTCTTATTTGAAACAGTAAATATGACAATCTAAAAACAATGCATTGTCCTTGCTAATTTTGATCTTATAATGTGTGAACCCACAATGCAATAAAATGGAATTACTGTGAAAAGAAAAGAAAAAAAAGGTATATCAAACACAATATACACCATTACTTCAAAGCCCGGTTTTTTTTTTTTACTTTTATACTATTATCATAATACAAATTAAATGCATATACAATTGCTTATAAAAATGAACTATAATACTTACAATAAAATGTGATACAATACACCATGACAATGCAGGTTTTTTATTAACATAATAAAAATTTTTAAACTAGTCAGAATAATGGGAACAGAATCTGATGATGACAAATTTAGTTTTTATGTGTATATAATTTTTTATCTTCTCACCTATACCTCTTTTCCCATTCTGATTACTTATATGTTGATAACTCATGTAAATCAAAAATCAAACAGTAAATGCTCTGATCTGAGTGTAACACTACATACAGCAAACACTTTGACATGAATATGCTCAACTGGAAGTATCAAGGAGGATAAGATCCATCAAACTGAATAAAAAAACCCCCATCCAATTAAGTCTATTGGCGCCATTGTGCATTAATCACTTTAATTTGACAACTATTTTCAATAGAAACTCAAAAGCTCTACTGCACAGCTGACATTCAACTGAGATTCACTTCAAAGGTCTATCAAAGCAACTGTCCGGTCAGAGTCTCAATGCGTGAGGGACTTTCGTCCTTTGAGCATTCGGCGCAGGATAACTTCGATCCCACCTGGACTGCTAATTCTTTTGATCCACCCATGGGTCCTCTTTCGTTTGATGTTCTTCGGCTGATATTCTGTCCCACGTTTGACTGTGCGGACTTGTTGATAGTGCCAGAGTGACTGCTGGAAAACACAAGCTCCCTCTGCTTTGGTGTTCAGGGTTGCTTGCAGGACAGGTTTCTGCTCAGCTCCTGTCTTTGACAGAACCAAGGAACTGATAGAGCGGAGCTGACTGCAGCTGAATATGGTAGAGTGAGGGCCATTACTCCTGAAAGTGAATTAGAATATAGTGTAAAATACCTACACATGCATGCATGCACTGTACATGAGTCCTGAAGACTGAAAGTCTTCCTCAAAACTCAGTTGAAAAGTGATAAATATACAGGTGAATTTGTACATTGTTCTGATTTGCACGACTAATGTAAACTTAAAAGTAACTTAATATGAATAAAGACAAACTGAAGGAGACTCAGCATTTATTGCACTACATTTCATTACTGCATACTGTACTGTAACTATACTCCATCATTACACTATTTTTCACTGTATTTTTGTGTAATCTTTGCTTAGCTGTGGTTTTTGTAATATATTCTGATTAGATTAATACCAATATTTCATTGGGTTCATGGCAAAGGTCAGGTTATCGCTAACGCTGGTGGTTAAATTCACAATCAAAAAGACGTTCAGCAAACTAATTTACCACAAGCTTTTTAAAGAATTGTTTGGTTTCACATACCGACACAAACTCTGTGTCCCCGAAAAGCGCAGAAATGTTGCTCGTAACGTGTTCATTTCGGCTACTGCTTCCTTCCATCAATCAATATCATACCAAAGTCATCACGTCTTGCGTCTCAGGTCTCTTCTTCTAACGTTTTTTTGGCGTGTTACATCCTGTGTGCATATCGCCACCTACTGTTATGCTGGTATGCAGTCATGGTTTATTTATAATCAATTTCTTACTTGTTTTTGCTTTTCCTGTTCTTACACACGTATATACACAAATATTCCTACTTAAATAATTATTCGATGCTCCATCCCATTCCTTCTCCCCAGGCTCCACCTGGCGCTGCGTGTTCAGCTCCTCCAGACTAAATCCGTGATCTCCTAAAGATCCAGAATAGAATAGAGCACCCACGGTCTATATTTAAATCGTTTCACTTAACCCAGTAGTAAATATGTATTTTATTAATATCCTGTATCCTTCTCTATCTCTGTTAAACTCATATCCTAATAAGTATTCCAAATCCTTATTTACCTTACCTTTTTTGTTTAAATATGATATGAATTCCTTTCTTTCTTCATCATACCTTGTACAATTATATATTACATGCTTCCACCGTTTCTTTCTCCCCACAATTCCCACATAGACCAGTCTCATGCATTCCAGTTATGAACAGTGAAGCGTTCAATCCCGAGTGTTCTGCCAGAGATAGGGTCTTTAGAACCATCAGTATAAATATGCAACCACGATGGATAAGTCTGATCTAAATACTGCTGTGCAATAATGTTCTTAGGGGTTTCTTTCTCATTCTTAATTTTTATTTGTATTTGAAAATCGACTATTGGCATAGGAAAAATCCACGGTGGTATACTGGATAATATCACAGTAGGGCTAACATCACAGTCTGCAATACCAACAACTTGTGCTTCCCTTTTAGCAATCCATCCAAAGCTTTTAATATTTTTGTTTCCATGCTTCCAGCTTTCTTCAATCACACCCTTTACTGGATGACTCTCTTTATGTCCTTTTAAATTAACCCAATACTTCATTCTTAATTTATACCTACGAGGGAATAAAGGAGCTTCCCCAACTTCTACCTGCATGGCTGCAATGGGAGATGTTTTGAACGCACCACAACATATTCTAAGAGCTTGATTCTGTATAGTTTCAATCTTTTTGAGTGTGATTTTAGATGCAAATCCGTAAATAATACTTCCATAATCTAAACTTGGTCTGATTAATGTAGAATAAATTATTTTCAATGACAATCTACAAGCTCCCCATTCTACCCCAGATAGACATCGTAAGATATGTACTCCTGTTTTACATTTCTTAATCAGGTTTTTAATGTGCATTGCAAATGTCAATCTAGATTCCATCCAAACACCGAGATATTTAACTACTGAGACTTGCTCCAGCTCCTGTTACTTCAACTTAACCTTTGGTACATTTTTCCCTTTCGTGAAACATATAAATTGAGTTTTAGCCAGTGATAATCTGAAGCTCCAATTATTTGCCCATACACTTTATCTACTGCTTTTTGTAATCTTTGAGACACACATGCAATATTACGTCCTCAGGTCTCTTCCTCTGCTGTACGGCTCAAGTGGGGAGGGCTGGCCGGAGTTTTCAACACTCACTACTGCCCCCTTCAAGTCAAACTCAGAATAACATATGCGAAGCATCGAGTGTTATTTACTTAATTTTATTACAAAAACAAAAACTGTTGAAAATGTACCCATGCATGGACTCTGTACAGAAATGCGGTGTGCTGAACCCCGAGTAAACCTAACAAACAGACTGGCGGAGGAGTGAACTCTCGCATTCACTGGATCTGATCTCTGCGCTGCCGGAAGCGGAAGTGTGTGTGTTCAGTAAACGTAACGTTCTGCTAGCTTCAAGAACCACTACGCAAATTCTGCAGCCAATTGTCGCTTAATTTTGCAAACCTCTGAGGTGCAACAGTTTCAGCCGGCAAGATGTTTAACAGAATGACAAGTTTATGGATGGGTGATGTAAGTATTGTGTTTTTGTTTACTTTTCTTCGAGTTTGTAGAAAGCAGCAGCATGTGGGTTTAGCTCGATGTTACGCAAGCATGGCCAACAGGCCACTCAAACGCTCACTAAACTGGAGAAAAAAATGCTGAATGTACACCGAATTAAAGTAATGCTTTAGCACATTTATAAATATGGCCGTAATTAATCCGTGGTTTGTATTTTCTCAGCAGGCCTCTCATATTTGCATAAGCGTTTTTATGTCGTAGACTCGTAGTGTAAATAATGAAACAAACTACATGTCCTGGTTATGATTTCGAGTTGATTCAGTAATTATACAACAAGGTGTAATTCACAAAACTGTACGTTAAGTCAACTTATCTACATCACCGACAGAACTTCTCTGCTTCCCTATGTAAATCATTAACACGGTTAAAACAATCATTCACATGGTTGGTGTGTGTTTAAAATATGCTGACAGGCCATTAATCACATTATTTGTTTTACAGTTAGACCCATACATGGATGAAAACTTCATTAAGCAAGCTTTCAGCACTATGGGAGAGACTGCCTACGGTGTCAAAATAATTACACATCGAGTTACCGGGTAAGATTACTTCTCTAAATAAAGTGCAACAGTTGGGTTCCTGATGTAAAAAGCCCATCAAGCAGGAAATATGTTTTTAATGATAACCTATAAACCTTTAAAGACAGACCTGCCATGAGGTTGTTAATTGATGGTACATGCTTTTGTTGAAGCCATCAGCCCCCAATATTAAATTTTTTTTTAAAAAATAATGTTTTTAAACATAATTCCATTTAAAAACTACATTACCCATAATTCTGCAAAGAAATCTCCACAAATCATAATCAACAAGCAAACGCCAGAAAAAAACCCTGCCTATCCACTCCCATAAAGCACTGAGTTTTTTTAACTTATCAAAGTATATTGTTTCTCTATATAATCAATACTTTTATATTTCTCCATAGGTTTTAACTTCATTGTCTTTTGCAATGCTTCATGGCATTGTAGATTTTCCCCTCATCGAAGCCGTTTTGTATTTTTCCCTTATTTTCAAATATAATTTTTTGCTTCAAATCAAAGTTAGCCATGTATTCATCTCATAGCTGGTTGGTTTGGTTCATGGCTTATAACTCCTAAACAAAGACTTAAAAAAAGAAAAAAGTCCCTATGTAAAAACATGTCAAACTAGTATCTAGGCAACTTTTTTCTTTGCTAAAGGGGTCAAATGATGCCATTTCAAGTTTTCCTTTCTCTTTGGAGTGTTACAAGCTAATTGTGCATAGATAAGATCCCTGAAGTTGCAAAGACTAAAGTCTCAAAACCAAAGAGATATTCTTGATCAAAGTTAAGACTCTGCCACGCCCCCCTAAAATAGCTCGTTCTAACACGCCCGCACATATCTACATCACTATGTGGAAATATTTGCATAATGCCGCCCAAATGCTCACGCAAAGAAAGAAGGCGTGGTTTCAGTAACCGCAGTTAGTGTTGAAGCAGCTATGTCAGGGAGGCACTGTGTTTCAGTGCGAAAGCAAAAGCACTTTATTTGGCCTCCCGAAAGTAGATGCATTTAGGAATCTTTAAGATTACTTACAACAGAACAGCAATGCATTTTATGGACAACCGTTTCGTGAATCTAGGAGAGGAGGTAATTCTGACTTTGCTATGACAATCTGGTGCTTCTGAATCAGCTACTGTTTTGTTATTAAAGTATTTGCTATTGACTGTTCAAATGAAGAGTTTTGCTCATCGTGTGTGTGTGTGTGTGTGTGTGTGTGCGCACGCGCGCACGTGTGCGTGTGAGAGAGAGAGACAGGGTCACATCACAGTGGAGTCAGCTGTCTTAACCGTGGCTTGTGTGTACTGCAAACACATACCAGCTTCATCACTGTGTCTGTCACACGACTCTGTTCCCCTTTCGGGCTCTGTCTCTACATTTATTTTGAAAGATGAAGCTCGCGATTATGTTAAGGGCCATTACATTTCCGACGAGTGCTTGCGGTGTTCGGCCAATCACAATGCACTGGGTCAGCTGGCCAATCAGAGCAGACTGTGCTGGTCGGAAGGAGGGGCTTTGTAGAAAACGAAAGAGAGAGGCGGGGCATAGAGGACCTACATTAATGTACAGTATTTGAAAAATAATGTGTTTTTTAAACATTAAAGCATGTCAACATATTCTGTTACACCAAATACTCAAAATAATGATCTTTAAAAAAGCATCATATGACCCCTTTAGTAATATCCAGACTCACTGAAAATATGTATATTATTATATTACTTGGCTTATTTGCCTTTGAGATGAGCCAGATTTTGTCTTTTGTGTATGTTTGTTGACAGAAATCATTGAATATTGTCTTGTGTGTTTCCTCAGAGGCTCGGCTGGATACTGTTTTGTAGAACTAGCAGATGAGGCCGGTGTTGACCGTTGTGTGCAGAGGCTTAATGGGAAGCTGGTTCCAGGATCGAATCCGGTAAGATGCCAAACTTTCACTCATTAGATTGTGTAGTTTTGGCATCTATATTTGATTTCAATGCATTCATATATGTAGATTATTATAGGAAGGCATAACCAGCATGGCCCCCACCTGATATGAGACATTTGAATTATTACTCCATATATTACTAGTGATGGGCGAGTTACAGAGCTCAATTTCTTCCCTAAGGAAGGTGGTTGAGGCTGTTTTTAAAATGACTTTGTTTGAAGCTGGTGAATAAACTCTGTTAGGAACTAGCTGACGAATGGGATAAAGCCAGTACTGATTGGTGGAGGTATGTGGAAATAATAGCTTCCTTACTCAAATAATATAACTCTATTTGTCAGCGAATTGTCTCCATACTACAGGCAAAGTGTCATTTGATTTGCTCAATGGTTGTATTATGTTTGCATTTCAGCCCAGGAAATTCAAGCTAAACTATGCAACATATGGGAAAAGGCCAGAGCCTGGGTAAGTACACCATGTACAGAAAAAAAAAACTTTTAGTTGCTGATCTCTTGTTGAGGAACAAAAAAAAAAAAAAGAAAGTAGCTGCATTTTTGTTGTTAAATATTACATTTTACAAACTGTGGAGGCTTCTTTCACTTCATCACGTTCACTTTCTTCCTCAGCCCAGAATTTTCGGTCTTTGTTGGAG